TAACAAGGATCCGGCTGTTGGACTATGATCGGACGTTCAAATTATGTGGCAGATGATAAGGAAGTGATCAAAGAATGAAACGAGCAGTCGCAGACAAAAATCAGCGCGGCCCATTAACTAGGCTTCAAGGGTGACTTATTGCTGAGAGCGAGCAAGAGTTTCCATTAAGCCCAACGAGAGTACAAGATGCATGAAGGGAGACATCGATTTAACATCACTCACCTTTGTCAATGCGACATTTCTGATCATAACGACAGATGTAATTCTTCCCCGCACGTACCTACAAAGATTATCATCACATGTGCTCAGTCTCGGATCGAATAGCTGAGGAACCACATAAAACTTACGGTTCTTCGAAAAAACCCTTTGCAGCCGAAGCACGCAACGACCCCATAATGTCGTCCGCTGGCTTCATCACAGCACACCGAGCTGTAACAACACTTCTGAGTTAGTGGAAGTGAACGAAAGGCTTGTCTTTGCTAACTAATAGACATATGTTACGAGATTTGTGACTTAATTAATTGGCGCAAAGCAAAGTTCATTTGGCTATCCACAAAGACAACTGTGCTCTGCTCGTCATTCGTTCCAGTTCTTTACCTCCTCCGATTTTCTCAACGCCTGCACATCCCCCTACTCAGCTGAAACCAACATTTATCCTTGAATGACTGTCTCTATCAGTAAAGACGGCGGCAGACAATGCGGTCGCGCGGAGATCTTATCTTTCTGAGGTCATCGGTCTATTACACCCATCTGTTCTCAGACGATGGTACACAATGAGTTATACAAGACTCCTTAAGTATAGCGGCTAGGGCTGTGATTAGCGTGTTTTCACCCGGGCGAGCACTACGCTCGTTCTTCGCGCTGTTCACCAACAAAGTACAATGGGTTCAGCTGAAGCTATTCAGGATCCATCTATCAGTACGAAGACGCTAACCGCGATGAATGAGCGCGTCGACAAACACGCAAAGGACATGAGCGTTCTGTGTACTCTACCCTGACAATGCTAATGCGGGATTGATTGTAGTTGTTTCACAATGAGCTTTTTTTCTGTCGTCGTAGGTATGCGGATCTCATTCCCTTCCTCCCCAACGCCGTACACGTCCTCTGCTGCCACTGCTCTTTTCCCTTGATTCTCAGTCAAGCAATAGCTGCCAGCGTGTCACAAAAACATCATTTGTTTGTGCGTTTCCGTCTGCCAAATAGAAGCGCGCCGGCGAGATGCGAAAAATAGAGAGAGAAAGAGCGAATAACAAGGATCGTTGGCGACGGCAAGGAACTAACAATCGAGGCCAGTGGAGTAAACACAACCAACTAGCTAGTCAACAGCCCGCATACGGAGAGAAGAGAGCTCAAGCCAAAACACGCTCCATACGCGCAGT